ATGGTAACATTTGTCCACCATACTCTAGCTTGCCCTCGTAGTAGCGAAACTACTCCATCTAATTTCTCCACTTCAGAGTAGTGGAGAAATTCTAATATTATCTTTACATCATTTAACCAAAGGTCCGTAACAACATGACCTTCTTCAACTTTACCTTTGAAATCAGGAGCTCATAATCCTTTCAACTCTTTAGTTGTATTCATTCTAGGAGTTGAGGGGGCAGGAGGTTGGAAACGAGTCAGAATAGCGTCCAACGTCCTGAAAAACACCTCTTGATCTTGTACAGACACTCCCTATGTGCATGTTCTTCACCTTTCCTGGCTATGGCAAGTGAATTACTACTTCCCTCATGTCTTTCATCTCCCGTTTCACTTCGGGAGCTCTCGTGGTCAGACATCTAATAAGACGTAACCATTTAACTCTATTAGCAAGACAACATACTTATTACACTATCAGATCAGAAAATATTTTCACATTTTGTTGGCATGTACACTTTTTAAATCACATTGGACTTCGATTTAAGCCTAGAATCGGCTAAACCATATCTCTGATACCATTAAATATAACACCCCCAACCCGTATTCGACACGGATATGAGCCCGAGGTATCACATCGACTTTTCAAAACATTTACTTTTAAAGAATAGTAGAAAATTTTAACTTTTATTTGTATAAAAGTGATGAAACCCTTGATCAAAAATAAATAAGAATATTCAAACTTATATTGAAAATAAAACTTAATAATTTACATAAATAAAGTAGAGTTTGTCCCAAACCTATTAGAGCATATGCAATTTAAACCTTTAAATTACATGCCAACATATTTAATACAACAAAATGACATATTGTGCAAATCACTTCTGATATGATCTTCTTGTATAGATATGATGTCTTGTCAGATCCTAGCTTTGCTCTTCCTGCTTCTTTGTACCTACGAGTGAAACACTCACACGCTAAGTCATTAACTTAGTGAGGCATATATGCATAAAAGAAACATTAAAACATGCAACCATATAACTTAATTTCTATAAACAACATAGTGTACAGAAACCATTATGCATTTCATCAAACAATACATATATAACATCATGCACTATTCATTCATATTATTTTTTTTGATAGCCCATGGTACATCATTGAAAACTTAAGGTATGTGAGTGTATTGAGGTTGTGCACTAATGTTGTCACCACAACTCGTATAAATTGCATCGAAGTGCCATGTAGAAATGTTCCAAATGACCACATAGATATGTCTCGAAGGACCGCGTAGAAATGTCCCAAAGGACCACATAGAATTGTCCCGAAGGATCGTGTAGAACCCTTGACTCTTGACATGTCAATTATACCTTTAGCTCTCATATCATATACTTTTGGGATTTATCATTTATACCAGTTCACATAGGTTATCACATAGACATGTATTCACGTAGATCATGTAACACATACGATGACATGTAATACATAACTCATGTATAACAGTGCATGTAACATATAGACATATGCCTGTACTCATGTACACATAGAAATCATATCAATAATATACTTGTATTCATGAATTCATGCAATCAAACATTGGAAATAGACTCATCACAAGTCTTCTTTCCATATAATCATATTTCATAGTAATATGCACTCATGTTAGCCTCATTTAGTCAAATCAATACACTTATAACTCTTGAACGCTCTTATAACTTTAAATTATCCAGAACTTGCCTTCGTTCGATATCTACAAAAAGATACGACCTATATGAATGTCAGAGTTTGAATCACTATAAATCAATCATCAATAACTTAGGCTAAAAGAAACACTTAATTCACAATTTCTATCTGAATAGTATCGGTACCTAGTCCCAGTACCGATACTTCCTCACTATGGTATCGATATTATACTTCAGTATCGATACCCTTTCTACATTCTGGAATTCGATTCAAAAAATGGTACTGATACTTGTACATTGGTATCGATACCCTTGGTATCGATGCTACTCCTTCACGATACTATTCTTCTGATTCATACAATTTCATCTTATGGTATCAATATTGTTCTTCCAGTATCGATACCCAAACCCATATTTTAACTATTTTGCCTTGAAGTATCGATATTGTTCATCCAGTATCGATACCCCTTGCCCAGAACTTACTCATTTCAACCCAAAAATTTACTAACACTTACTTAAATATTCCCCTTTGGCCTCCTTTTAAGTATATAAACTTAACTACACTTATTAAAACTTACTTATATCACTTTAACACACTTAAACATCCAAAATTCCACAATATCACTTGAAACTAAAAATCTTACCAATTATTCAACATGTTCCAAATCCATTTCTAACTTCTTAAACCTATTATTCTGACTGATGACAAGTCAAATATGTATTCAAAACCCATTTACCAACTCTTACTCATGAATTCACTCAAAAACCCTCTTTATTCAATCACTTATAGTTTATCCATCTTTTAGTTTCTACTTCTTTTTAAGCTTTCTCAAGCTTTCTTAATACCCCAAGAATCAAAACAAACCATAAATTTGCCCGAAATAATTTAGTTACAAATTCTTACCTTAGCCAAGCACTCACGTGGAGAAGAGGAAGAAAGATGAAGAAAATTTTGGATTTCTTTTTACTCATTCTTTCCTTTCCATATGTATTTAATACATCACTTAAAGAATTTTTTATTCAATTCCTTGTTAAATGACCAATATACCCTTCCTTCTTTCAATCCTTGATCATCAGTCCTACACAAATAAATTCCCAATAAATCCCTGGATTTTTCAATTATTCCAATTTAACCACAAATTTTTAAATTCTTACATTTTGGTCACTAGCCCGTAGTTTGGGTTGTTACATGGACGTTAACATGTTGACTGATATATGATAAAATCTAAAATCATAATCTCAAACGACTATCATATCTCAGTCAACAAGTTAACGTCTAATTCAAATGACCTTTAATTTTTTAATAAAAAATGACAAGTCTAGAACATGATGAATAGTCGAGTAACCATTTTATAACTTTTAATAGTCAAGAAACTCAACGAAACAACTTCATATAGTCGAGAGATCATTTTGTAACTTTTATTAGTGAAATGACTCAATAAAACAATATCTTATAGTCAATGGACCATTTGTGTACTTTACCCAAAAAAATTTAGTCATTAATAAAATACACACTAAAAATACAACTACTCGAATCTACAACCTACCTTAAATTATATTACAAGATTAGAAGCAAAATAAGATATAATTTCATAACACCTAATTACAAAGTAATTTGAAATCATGATTACAATACCAAATTTTGATTTAATTTTTCATTTATTTTTTATTATTTTAATCAATTTATTTTTTTCTACATAAAATATAGATAGAATTTAATATTTTTATTAAAATTAGATTAATATATTTTAATTAATATTCAATTATTGTTTGATTTAAATTGATTTAAACTCAATTCAATTCAATATTTTAACAAATTGAGTTAAACAAATTCCAACTTAACTTAATAAATTCATAAATAGTCATCAACTATTATAATTCTTTAATAATTACCTTAAAAATTAGGGTGAATTATTCCATTCACCACCCAACTATAGCCCATTTTCATTCTGATCACCATTTTTTAATCTTGCCAATCAGGTCACCTAACTATTTGAATACATTCAATCAGACCACCGACAGTTAACAATTAATGGAAGTGTTGATGTGGCAGTTAATAAAATTGGTATAATTACACATTTGATCACTGTTATTTATATATTCTATCAATTTGGTCCTAATTTTACTAAATTAAATAAATTTAATCTTTGAATCAGATCATGTCACTGTCAATAGTGTCAAATATCATGACACATGTCGTCACCCAATTGGAGGATTTAATTTATTTTAATTTAATATGTTTAGTTTCCACCAATCAGAGAGTGACACATATCACTTTAAGATGGAATAAAAATTAAAGGCGCTAAAGAGAGGGTCGTGGGATTCAAGCCAACATCCATTGGGTGACAAAAAAAGATTAAACCAATAGAATAAGCCCATTTTATATTTAATAATAGAGTACATATTGTATATATATTGTTCCTTAGTATAATCTTAAATTCTTAATATTAAATATATCTTAACTTAAAATCACATCTTAACATTAAAAAATATATTTTATTTTTTTAACTTATTGAATTTATTTTATTCTTATCTTAACTTATAAAATATGTTTTATGCCAACCTTAACTTAAAAATATATTTTATTTTTATCTTAACTTGCTACATATATTATATTCTTAACTTAAATTATTAAATATGTTATATTTTTACCTTAAATTATTAAATATTATTTATTCTTATATTAACTTGAAAATAGATATTTTATTTTTTTAAATATATTTTATTCTTATTTTAATTTAGAAATATATTTTATTTTTAGCTTAACTATAAAAAAAATTTTATCTTAATTTTAAAATATTATAAGAATATAATTTAAATATTTAAGTTAAGGTAAAAAAAATTTAAGTTTAGAAAAGACAAATATATATTTTTAGTTTAGTTAAAATAAAAAATAAAATATATATTCAATTTTATTAAGATGTGAATTTAAGTTAAGATATATATAATATTTAAAATTTAAAATTACACTAAGATACAAGTTATATACCAAATGTAATCCATTTCAAAGCAAATAATTAACTGTCTCAATAGTTGATGCTCTACTCTGTTACCCACACAACCCAAGTTTCAATCTAATAGTCCCCTCTTTAACACCTTTAATTTTCATTCCACCCATACGTGATACATATCACCATTTGATTGACAAAAATTAAATATATTAAATTAAAAATAAATTAAATCTTCCGATCAAATAACAACATAAGTCATAATATTCAACACTATTAACATGTGGCATTATTTGGTTCCAAAATTAAATTTATTTTAATTAAGTCCAGATTGATAAAATATAACCAAATATATAATTGAATTAATTTTATTAACTATCATATAAACATTTTCATTAACTATTAGCAATCAATAATCTAATGACTACATTTACACCACCCAACAGCTTACTCAATTCTTCATCGTTCCTCACCGCTAATTGAATATGCCTTGGAATGATTCTGTTCTTCTTGTTGTCCCTTGCCGCGTTTCCAGCCAATTCCAGAACCTGTATATTATTAGCGGAATCCAAAAGAAATTCAGTTACTACATTCATCAAAATTTTCAAAGATTTTTTTATCAATATATACAAGAGAGTTTCGATTACACAAACCTCAGCGGCAAGATATTCAAGGACGGCGGAGAGATAAACGGGAGAACCAGATCCGACACGCTCGGCGTATCGTCCTTTCTTAAGGAAACGAGCCACACGGCCGACGGGGAACTGAAGTCCGGCTTTACTGGACCGAGAAACGGACTTCGACTTCGGCTTGCCTCGGCCTCCTTTGGTGGTTGCTGCGGCGGAGCTCATGATTTCAGATTTTGAGCTGGAGGGAATTTGTTTGACTTTGTAAAAGGATTTTGATGGGAGATGAAATGTCGGGTTTGTTGTTTATATAGGGGAATATGTTTCGTTCTGATTGGTTGAGTGTTCTTTACGCGGATTGATGACGTGGCTTTGCGTTTTTGTTTGGTTGGTTGCATTTGAATCACTTGGATCGCCAGTTGAGGAGGGAACCAAACATTTTTGTATTTTTGGTGGCGTGGGATTGAAATTTTTAGATGAGGCGGTAACTCAAATATTTTCAACCTTTTCAATTTTAAAATAATAAATAATTAATTTTTTTATTAATTTCAAAAGTTGAAAAATGAATATATTTTACGGGACGAGCAAAATTCGACTTGAAAAATAAAAAAAATCAATTTTGAGTTATTTGAGTCGAGTTATTGGAGTCAACTCGAATTATCAATTTAATTTTCGAGTTTGAGTTGAGTTGAAATTTAAAAATTTTGAGTTACTTGGAAAACTGAAAATTTGGCTGTCTATTTTGACAATCTTGTGATTTAGTCTCTTATTTTTTTATTTCATCAATTTTTTCATTTTAAGTAAATTTTTTTCAAATTTAAACCACATGCTTCTAAACAATCATAAAATACTTACGTGCTTTCAATTCCTCTTTTCTATAACATTTTTTTAATTTAGTTGATCAACTTTTCTATAACAATATTATATTTCTTTAATTCACCCTTCATTTTAAGTCTATTTTTTACCAAATTTGAATCACATGCTCTTATACCACTATAGGATACCTATGCAACTTAAATTCTTATTTTTTTTTACTAAAAGTATATCATTTTTATTTAGTCCCTTAACTTTGTAGTTTATTCAATTTGATTTTTTGACTGCAATTGTTTACAAATTCTTTATTCTCATCAATTCATTTCCTCTTTTATACTCTCATCAATACTTTACCCTCAAACTATCTTCTTTAAATATAATATTGCAAATATATTTTATAATTTTAGATTGTTTTTGATATATTAAATAACATTATGTTCTTTAAAGATTAAGAATAAATATATATTATATAGGTAGAGAAAATCGAAAAATTAGAATCAATCATTACCATAATACTATAAATAATTATAATAAAATTTGTATAGAAACTCGAATAACTCGACTCGAATTTCTTAAACTCGATTCGACTTAAAAAAAATTTCAAGTTAAGTTTGAGTCACAAAATACAACTCGTCAACTCAAATAACTCGAAACTTTTTTACTTGAATAGACTCGACTGATAGAATGCTCACCCTTACATTATGACATAATTAGAGAAAAATGGATGACAAAAACAAATAAGAGGATATGATGGGAATGCTTATTAACTAATCATGGAAATAGAAATGCTTCTACAGAGTATGTTGAAGTCATCTGCTGTTGTTATCGTCTTCGATGGAAAATGCCTTACCATGTAGGCTACTTTAGGAAGTCGTTCTTTAATACAAACAACGTCCCTTGTTAATGCAAAAATCGTCTTCTAATGAAGATATTTTTTGTGGAAGTCGTGTGCACCCATGCACAATCTAAAATTGTCCCGACCAACTAAAGAAATGTCACCCTCCCACCTTGAGGGTTTGCATGAGACAGTTGCAGGTTATTATGCATGGGCAAATCATCGCCTGATGCGCATGACTTCTAACAAAAACGTCGTCATTAAAAGACAACTTTCAAAGATAAAAAATAACAAGGGAGTAGTAAAGTGGTGATTGGACCCGGTTTTTTGTTTGTCTGTTCAGCCCGATAAGCATCCTTCTGATTCTTTAACTACTCCTCAAAGTGGAGTAGTAAATCTTAATGTAGATGGTGCCTCAAACCGAGGAGGTGTTTTAAGAACTTCGAATGGGGATGTAAGAGCTTTACTTTCTGGTCCCTTAGTAGATGAGGGCCCGGAGTTTGCTGAAGTTTATGCTGTTCTAATTGCGTTGAAAGTTTTCTCTGAGTCGGGTTGGAGACTTGGAGTAGTAGCACTCCCTTACTGATTAAATCTGACTGTCAGGTGGTTCTGAATTGGATAACTTTTCCACTTATGAGGCCTTGGAAATGGTGGTATATTTTGGAAGAAATAGATAGTTTTTCTAAAATTCTTTCCTCGGTCAAGTTTATTTACGCCCCAAGGTCTCATAATGGGATGGCCGATCACCTAGCAAAAGAAGAAGGCATGAGCAGAAATGAGCTCTTTAAAGCGTGGTGGTAGGCTCGACGCGGTTTGGCAGTGTTTGGTTTTTTGTTTATTCTCTTTGTAGCTGTGTTGGGTTTCTCTCTAGGGTGTTTACTTTCAAAGTGGTTTTGTTACAAGTTGTTTCCTTTCCTATTGTTATGCAACAATCTTTTCTCCGCTTAAGGTTATGGAAGTTTTTAACGAAACTCATAACTGAACTTATTCAATAAAATTTGTTTGATTTTCGAGAAAAAAAATTCCCGAAGTTCTTTGTAGGATAAGGCTTCTTCCTCCGAAGATGAAAGTAGCTGATGTGTGCTATTCCTGAAAAATTGAAGTCAAGGCCGTTATATTTTCGATCGAATTAAAATTTGCCAATTTGTCCACCGCATTGCAACAAAAATGAGCGGTGATAATGCAACGCATCGTAGGAACAGTCAATACAGTGGTGTTGTGCTCAAAGGCCTCTTTAATCAACTTCTCCTCCATACCCTCTAAATCATTCTCCTGAAAATAAAATCTAATCAACAACACAATTAACCAAGCTCTGTAATCAACTTCTGGAATTAGCCTTAACAGTTTCTCAACCCTTTTAGTCATGTCCTTGTTGAATATAGTCTGGAAGCTTCTCCATGCCAGCTCAGCAAGTTTGTTAGTTAGGTTTAACAAACCTCCGAAGTAGTTACTGCTGTTGTTGTATATATAACCTGTTATACAAAGTGTAAACGTTAAGCAACTTAATAAGATTTCTTCTATTCTATATTTCTAATATGGTATCTTTCGCCGTTTGATCTTGGAGCTATCTTTCTCCGTTGCTTCTCTAATTCTTTTTGCTTTGTTTGTGCCTTTTTGCCATGGCTGTTGATGATGCTCAACGGGTTATTGACCTTGGAGATTCCACACGAGGATGTCGTCTGTTCACTAACAAGAAGATTAATATAGTGCTCGACGAGATGAATTTCTTGTTGTGGAAACAATAAGTTCTTTTAACCGTTCGCAGTCACCGCTTGGAGAGGTTGCTTACTGGCAATTTTCAACCACCGCCGAAAAAGATTCCTGATGCTGATGGTAATATGGTTATCAACGATGACTTTGAAATTTTTGTTGCACAAGATAGTGCGTTAGCTTCGTGGTTTCTTTCCACCATTAGCGATTAGATTCTTCCTCAATTTATGGGGGTTGAGACAGCAACTGATGTCTGGTCCACGGTGCTGAAGTTCTTTGCCAATCGATCCACTACTAGTGTGTTGAGTCTTCATTGCAAGCTCAGGTCGATCAAGAAAGGCAATGGGAGCATGCGATCATATCTCACTCAAATTAAGGAGGTATGCGATGCATTAGCAGCTTGCGGCAGCACTATTTCAGATCTGGAACAAATTGCAACGATTCTGAATAGACTTCCATTTGAGTGTCAACCGTTTATGGTGGTGATAACTGCGACCAAGGAGGCATTCTCGGTTGATGGTGTTGTCTGTATTGATGGATGTCGAGGCTCAGTTGAAAGGGTTTCAGGCGCAAGCTCAAATTCATATAAGTGCGAAAGCAGTGCATGTTTAAAACAATAATCATGAGGCGAATCGTGCTGGGCAGTCTAACCGGTATCAGAAGAACTATCGTGGCAGGACTGGTGCTCGAGGTCGGGGACGTGCCAGACTTCAGTGCCAGCTTTGTGGTAAAACTGGGCATTCGGTTAATAGATGCTGGCATCGTTTTGACTAGACTTTTCCTGGTGTCTTGGCTGCTAAAGATGATTCCCCCACTGTGCATGTAAGCACATGCGATATTGGTCAGGAATGTCGTACGTGTAATACTAACACCCATGCACAGGCGCATGTTGGTTACTCAGGTTCTGATCTGTGGGTTGTGGACTCTGGAGTTACTCACCACGTTACTCCTGGTGCGTCAAAGGTGACTAATGGCTCGGACTACTCTGGTCCAGGTAAGTTAGCTGTGGGCAATGGTGATAGTTTGGTTATTAGCAAGACTGGTTCTGCTGTTCTAAATACCAAGTCTCATGCTTTATTTCTTCATAATTTGTTACATGTGCCTGCTGTTACTAAGAATCCGCTTTCTATCTCTAAGTTTGCTAGAGACAACGATGTGTTTTTTGAATTTCATGCCACGAGGTGCTTGGTTAGAGATGAAAGTACTGGTGATGTTTTACTTCAAGGACAGGAGAGTGAGGGGCTATATCAGTTTGCTGCTGATCGAAGAGCTGGTGATTGCAATGCTGGTTGTAGACGTTTGGAGATTAATCTAGCTGCTAGTAATAAGGTCTCGTATGATCTATGGTATATGCGACTGGGGCACCCTGCTCATGACTCCCTTGTAAATGCTTGTAGACAAATTGGTGTTGTTTTTCCTTCCAAGTGTAATAAAACTACTGATAGTGTGTATGTGCCATGTAGAATGGGTAAAAGTCATAAACTCCCCTTCAATGAATCATCTACTGTTTACAATATACCCTTTCAACTTGTGTTTACGGATTTATGGGGGGCATTGCATGTTGTCTCAAATGGTTTTTACTACTATTTATCCTTTGTTGATGCTAAAACTAGACACTGTTGGCGTTATCTGCTTAAGACTAAATAAAAGTCGAGCTTTACAAGCATTTCACATGTTTAATGCAATGGTTAAAAAACAGTTTAATGCAGTCATCAAATAAATCAAAGTGATTGAGATGGAGAGTATCGTTCACTATCATTGTTGTTGTCCAATATGAAGATCAATCATCGGCTTTCTTGCTCGCACACCTATAATATCCTATTTTTTTCCTAGCTCCAAACTTATTTAAATGCAAGAAAGCCCATTCACATTGACCTTAGAGAAAATGAAAGTGACACCATATCAAATAATAT